GACTGAATTCGGGGGGGGGGGGGTGATGTTAATAAATAGTTGGACAGGATACAGGACTTAATGCGAGTCCTTGATGGCTTTTATCGATTGATAATGGGAAGCAGAAAACATGAATATTGCGATGCACAAGCCGATTGCATTTATGGTTGGCCAAATGGTTTTATTGCATTTCGGGCCCCTCAAGCCATGCAGATCCTTCGAACTGAGGCACCTGGGTTCATGTTCGGATGAGGATGCGGATTCTGGTGCGGGTCCTTCGATTGGCTTAGCCAACTTGGCCCGGCAATCCACTTTAATCGCCGTCAATGGTTGTGCCAACAGTTTGGATAATCCCGTAAATATTTATGCGCAGTTTGGCAGCAGAACAGCAGAACAGCAGCTGATGACAACAAAGACATAAATGCTTTCACTGTTAACTCAACTCGAAAACTCGTCTATGGGCCCTTCGACAATCGATAACTGTCGAGAATTCCGGCTGGGGAAAATCAGAGCAGGGGCCTTGACTCAACTCAATGCCGATGTTGTGCTAACTTTCATGTAATCCGTCGAGAACTCGAACATGTTCCCAAACTCACATAAGTACTTGGTAAGGATTAACATGGAACATATGTATTGGCAAGTTGGGATTGAGCAGTTTTATTTCCATTATTGCCTGCTGTGCAATTAAAACAGAAGATTTTCAATGTGATTTATAGACCACGATTTCTATATAAAGAGTTTTTTTTAGGGTTGTTTTTTTTGCTATTTCACAAAAGGATTTTGTCTTGATTTAAACGAGGTATGACATTCCAACACACCACCACTATTTCCTAGGGTTTTGATTAAAAAACGGAAAAATTGAGCTGCATTTTCCGGATTTCGGCGAAAATATTTTTCTTAAGGGGATCTTTTGCAAAATAAAACTTTAACGACATTTTTTTCTGTGAATACAATTTTGTTGGAAATTTTGTAACGATTTTAATGAGGTATGACAATTCAACATACAACCACTATTTCCCAGAGTTTTGATTAAAAAACTGAAAGAAAGAGACGATTTTTTCCAGATTTTGGTAAAAAAAACAAACATTTTAAAGGGTTTTGGTTCTTGAATCGTCAAAATATGACGCCGTTTTGTGCAGCTAAGGATTATGACAGCTTATGATTAAACATCCCTGATTGATTTGGAAAAATAAATAAATTATATTGTGCTTTACGTATTTTAAGGCATTTGTCCATTGCCTTCATTTTTTTTAGAAATTCAAGAGCACATGCTGAACACGGCCATTTGCGAGCATTGGGCTGGCCAAAAGAGAGAGCCACAGCTGCCGACATTCTGTCGCTGTCACGATTCTGGCCAACTCCTTTTGGCCAGGACAAACACGGAAAAAAGCAGGAAAGCAGGAAAACAGGAAAACACGGAAAAACAGAGTAGACCGGGCCAACGGGCATTGGTCAAATGTGGGTGGGAGGGTTGGGGGGTGGGGGTTTGGGCCACGTACGTGTGCGGCTGGCCATTTGGTATTTGTGGACGGCACTGCGTCGACCGCTTTGGCATTGAAACAAATTGAAAAGTTGCGTTTGTCCGTGAAATCGCACCCACCGCCGAGGTGGGTCCTTTAATGGAACATGAAGGCGATACTCGGACCGGGCAATTACACCACGTCCCACACTTTGGCCTGTCAATAACTTCATTTCCGGTACAACGTGATTTAATTAACGATTACCATGTATGTCCCCCCTTCCCCTTCTTCCTCTTTTTGATGTAACAATTAAGTGGGTTTCCTTGTGCGTGCTCGTAGCATTTTAACCGAGCGCATAATAATTGCAGGACGTGGCCGGTCAGAGGCACTTCGATTTGGGGCACATATCCAGCTAATTTCGGATTAATTTCCCACTCCGATCGCCACACAAATGCGCCCCCGCACAATTCCATTAGCCGCTCGGCTGCATTTTGCATGCATCGGCCAACTTTTCCACTCAACCTTGGCAACCTTGGCTTGAACCACTCATAAATCTGGGGAAAAAGCAAAGGGTTGGATATCCAAAGTCCTTGAATCCTTCAAGCTATACTGTTTGATATTCGGTTCACTACCTTAATTAGTGACTATACTTACTAGAAAAATGTTTCCGTATCTCCAATAAAATTCACTGCTCATTTTTGTATATTTCATCTGGTTTTTATTTTTCTTTATACCTTTTATTTTTGTTTTATACATATTTTAACTTCACAAAAAAAATATTTGTTCTTTTAATTAAGTGTTTTCATTTTCATTTTTCATTTTTGGTTTTTTTTTGTTTGTTTTTTTTTTTTTTTTTGGTTTTTTGGTTCATGCAGTTTTGCATTTAAACGACATTTCTTTAGTTTTGAAACAATGTGTTTGTTTTTATTGCATGGAAAGTTTGTTCGTTTGGTTTTATCATTTAAAATTTACACCAAAAAAGATCAGCTATGTTTACGACTAGTACATTAGTATATTTGTGTATATACTCGTAAGTTTATCAATTTGTAATTGTGTTTATAACGTGGCTCAATCGTTTGGCCCAGAAGATGTACATCGATCGATTGATAACACTGGAAATTCTCTTAGTGGTTTAAAAACGTCGTTCGCCCGATAACAATTCGGTTTTTTATATACTTTCGTAGGCCTTCTGGAGGCCTTTTCCTTTTCCTTCCCCATTTCCCATTCCATTTCCATAAATGTCGCACTTAGGCCTATGCTATGACATGTATTTTCTGCTCTTTGTTTTCTCAACACATAGTATATCGCTCACAAATAAATGGTTAATACAGTTTATACATTAACAACTGAAAATTCAAGTGATTCTCTAAAACGAGAGTTTTTTGTTTGTTCAATACTTTTTCAATACTTACTTTCATTGGTAAAATTTGATTTCAACAGCTTATAAATTAGGAAAAAACACACATTCTATATGCATATATTTCTTTGTGTTTACAATTACTTGCAATTCTCTAATCTTTAAGGCTTAGGCCTGGAAAATACTTGCAACTAGGTTGGCAATCCTCCAATTTATCAATTTATCAATTTTTTTTTCTGTTTGTCTCTGTCAATTTGCCAACTTTTTCATCGGTTTTCGTTATGTTTTTGTTTGAAAATTTGACACTTTGTTTTTGAAATAGATTTTGCATTAGTGTTTGATTGCTAATTCACACACAGATAGTAGAGAGAGATAGAGAAAAGTGGGCTCCTAGAGAGAGAGAGAGAGAGAGAGGGCTATAGGTATAGGTATAGGTATCGGTATAGTGTGTTATTCTGGGGTGGGAGGGTATTATATGTGTTATATAGCACTTCTATGGCTCCTGTTCGATATTGTCGTGCCCAAGATCAGATCGATCATACATATATACTACATACATACGGGTATATGCAGTGGGAAACCAATAGTTCGAAGGATCTAGCATTGAATAACCTTGGAAGTGGGCAGACAGGAAATCGATAACATTTATCCAAAAATAATACAGTTCTTCTTCGATAACAACGACAGCAACAGTTTTTGTATATGGTTTTATTTCTTGGACTCGGTTTTTTCGTCTATTAAGAAAAGGTTTTATTGTTTTTTTTTGAAAGCTTTTTGTGGGTGTTTCGGCTAAGGTACAAATTTGCTACAGGTTCAATCTAAGTGAAATAGAGTTTCAGCTTCTCTGTTCATTATTTCGGTTTCATCTGGAAGACTACAGCTAAGTACACAGCTATGTATTTATAGGGTTTAAAAATGCAACAATTACTTTGAGTTTAGAGTTAATATAGAGAAAGATTTGTAGTTGGTTTAACGGCGAAAAAAACCACTCACTAACTATGTACAACGAGATGTCCAATTAACCATTTTCCATTTATCTATTTCTAATAGTTCTCTGTTCATTTTCTGCGTGTCACTTAGTTCTAGCTACAAAAAATTACAATTACACACCTATGCATTTGATAAACACTGTATGCCTTGTATATATATATATATATCTATATATATTTCTGTGTATATGTATGTAAATATAATATGCATATACAGCGGATATCGGTTTATGCTACTTCTTTGTTTGCTGTGGTCCAATTTCTGATTCAAACATTTGTTTTTATTTGATTTAGCTTGCACACTCGCACACACAACAGGCACACACACCAGATTTATATAGTACACATATAGTATAGCCGGCCGACTTGATGACATTCCATCATTGTCACTAATTTGCTAATGGAGAATTGGAGAATATATGGCAACAACAGTGCGCAGAAACAATACACTCAACATTACGCATACGCCCCGGGGAGCACTTCTCAATTCTCCTTCCCGTTGTATTTGTTTTCGGGCTATTATTTTGATTTACACATTTATTTACCAAAAGACATTGGCTTCTCTCTGTGTGTGTGTGTGTGTGTGTCGTGTGTCTACATATACATATTTCGAATAGAAAGTCAAACTGGTTCCAATTAAATGTAGTTAGTATTTTTCCTTGCTATTTCCTTTTTGTATAAATATAGTTTCTGCGTTATTTAAATTTCTCTCTATATATGTTTCATTAAATCGTTAAGAGTAAGTTTTTAGTTTTAGTTTAAGTTTCATTGTGTAAAGCTTTCGTTTCGTACATTTTCAATTTCAATTTTTCTTCAATTTTTCAATTTTCAATGGGGGTTGTGTGTGTGAGGTTGTGTATACTAACACGTTGTCAAATTTGTTGTTGTTGTTGTAGAGCAAGCAGTGGCACTTCCGGTGCCACCATGTACTTACACTTGAAAACTGCTTTAAATGCAACCCAGCCAATTATGCCGATAAAATCGAGTTCCTCGTTGGCCTTCTCCAATTTTTCCGCACTTTTTCGATATTTTTACAGTTGCACAAACACATCCATAATTGCATATTTATGGACATGCAGTACCTAGATTTTTATTTTGGCAGATTCGCGTTGTCTTTCTCGCTACGCATTTCATTTAGTTTCTATGCAAATTTCTGCATGTGTGTGTGCGGGTGTTTATTTAAGCGCGTGTGTGTGTGTGTGTGTGCAGGGCAAGATGAGAGAAAGAGAGAGAGAGAGAAAGAAAAAGAGAAAGAGAGAAAAGAGAGAGAGAGAGAAGGGAAGAGAAGAGAAAGAAAGCAGATATTTTAATTGCCATACACGAATTTCAATTCCCATGCGTTTGCATCCTTGTTTATTTTGTCTTGCATGTGTGTGTGTCTGTATGTGTGTGTGTGTGTGCATGTGCGTGTGTTCATGTGCAAGTGTGCGGGTGTGCGTGTGTGAGTGTGTCTCCTTGGTGTGTCCAATGTGGCATAATGAAAACAACAACAAAAGCATGTCAAGCAATAACAGTTAGCAAAAAAGTTAACGCTCAGCAAATTTCACAACATATCGAAGAACACGAATTTCAATGTGAAATAATGCAAATGGAATGGAATTTAATGGCAGCCTATTACATTTATCCAATAAAGTAGAAAGCTGCCTTCAATTAAAACAAAACTCTACCTTTTTTCTTCCCCGCAATTTGTTTACTTATCGTTTTTTGGCTTACGAAAATTCGGTTTTCAATTTGCATTTCAATGACTCTGGAGTTTTTGTTAAAGCAAAATATTTTACAGCCTGAAATTGGTCTGTTCATTAATCTGCATATATTTTTTGTATATAGTTAGGTATCATTTCTGAGTAATTTACAGAAAGTAATTATCGCAGTGGCAGCAATTCAATTTTCGGTTTAAGCCTGAACAATTTCGAAAAAAAGCCTCAAAGCGGGGCATTTAAAGTTATGAAAATTGGTTTGTTAGAAAGTTTCCTCTCAATATCTCCCAAATGCACACACATCCTGAACACACCCACGCACTTTAAACTTAACATATGGATAGTGTTTTCTTTTGAGCAATGTTCTCCCACAAATATTAGATTAAACCCTCCATTTGTTGTTTTTAATTATTATTTTTTAATGTTTTTTGTTGTTTAATATACTTTGTTTTTCCATCACAGCTAACGTCAATTTATATAACTCTAGGACATCTAACAACATTTCTAAGGAGACATTTTCTGGGCACAAATAATGGGATTCAAAGAAACATAAAGTAAATGTTTGAATGCTTTTCATATATTTTCATTTTTGGTTCATTTTCACTTACATTTTCTATAGATTTAACCGTATTTAAGACTATAACACATTTGACAGTTTGCAACATCAATCGATACACACAGAGAACGTTTTTAAACTCTTTTAAACTTCATTTGGCTAATTATAGTACAAACAATGGGGCAAATCGGAAACTTAATGCACATATACAGTAGGGTGGATCTCGTTTTTAATTACAAAATATTTGTTTACTTTGTATTTTTCTTTCAAATATCTAGCTGACATTTAATATATGCTTTTGCTTTGAAGAAAGTATTTGCAATTGATTTTTTTCTTGGCCTTTTTGGCATTAAAAACAAAATAATACAAGGTATTGAACTTAGAATTGGAAAAGCTTAAGAATTCAAAAGTAAAAACTTTCATAAACATTTATTAATTTAAACCATTGTATTATGAAATTAACACTGAATACAATCACTATTTGGAATAGAAAAAATACCTAGACAATGTTAATTTCATACGAATAATTTAGCCAATTTTGAGCTTTCAGAGATCCACCCTGAAAGAACACACATATATGATTCATATAAGCACAAAATATATATATTGTATACATATATTTAAACACCGAATGGGAAAAGCGTTTCTATCGGGAATGCCACACAAATCTCTGGAGGTTCTGAAGCACTTAATGAGGTGTGTGATATATATAATATATTATTTTTACCATCAGACACCTTTTTTAATTGGTTCTAAGCATCCAGAGATGTTTGTGGCCCCCCGTTTATATATTTTTTGTAGGGGTATGTTGATTGGGGGGTGGGGGAGGGAGGGGTGCAAGGTGGCTGGGTGGCGAGGATACTCACTGCTCGCCGCGATTAGCAGGAGACACCCTGCTTGGCCACCGTGTACCAGGTGCTCACGGTGACCAGCGACGGCGAGTCGGGGGTGGTGGGTGGCGGCGGCTGCTGCGGATCGGCCTCGACCCCGCCCACAACCACGTCAAGGGGCGGGAGGGGTGCTAGTTCGGAGGGCGGGTGGCTGGCCAATGGGGCAATGGCAATGCCATTGTCAACGGGCGGTGCCGATGGCGGGGCGGCGGGGCATGCCCTCGACCTCCGCGGACGCGACTTGTTCTTGGCCTTCTGGCTCTGCGACTGGGGGTGGTGGAAGTGCATGGGCTGGGGGGTGTGGAGGTCGCGACCCACCTGCGGCCCCACCTGCGGACACCGGAAGCGGATGGCCTGCTCGTTGGCCACATTGATTTCCGGCCACCTGGGACCCGCCTGCTGCTGTCCCTGGTGACCCTGGTGACCCGAATGCCCCTGGTGACCCCCACGCTGCTTGCTCTGGTGGCGCTTCCTGCTCTTGCTGCGCTTGCGCGACTTGGACTGCGACTGCGATCGGCGGCCGGATCTTGGCTGCACCACCGACTGCGGTCTTTGGCAGTGTCGGCAGACAAAGGATCGGTACTCCTCCTCGGAGTCATCTCCATCTCCATCCTCCTCCCCGTCCCCGTCCTCCTCCTCCTGCTCCTCCTGCTCGTACTCCTCCGCATCATCGTACTCATCGGGATGGGCTTTGCGGCCCAGGACATTGCAATTGAGTGTGGTTCCAGTGGCCGCCGAGGCGGTGGTGGTGCTGGTGGTGCTATCGCCATCCATGTCGATTATGTGACAACAGTTTTGATGTCTAGTGCTATGTGGTTGCTGCTGTTTTTGCTGTTGCTTGTTCTTCGTCTTGTGGTTGGACTTACGTTTCTCTGGCTCCTGCTGGTGTTGCCGATGTTGCTGATGTTGCTGGTGTTGCTGCTGCGCCGGCTGCTGATGTCGCCGCCGCCGGGGCACTGTGTACTCATCGCCCTTGTCGGTCGGATATGGTCAGAACGCTGTGTCGAACACGGACATCGACCGCGAGATGGCGTCGTCGTTGCGACAGGCCTCCAGGAACTCCTCCAGCGTGACCACGCCATCGCGATTGGTGTCCATTTTCTGGGGGGCAAATAAGCACAGCATTAGAACAATACAACACTCATAGAATTTCAATTCCTAGCACATTACATTGTGATTAAAGCTATCACATTTGTTGTCATAAATAAAATCTTGTCATTGTGTGTTGTCATGATGGTCACCATTTTTCATAATCATGATTATTTTCGAAAATGTTGCAAAAAAACTGGGAATGCCACTCGATTAGAAAGTTTGTTACGAGTTCAGCGAGGTATGCCATTCCATTATCGGACAATTATTGGCATTGTTATCGTAAAAATACTGATATTTTTTAGCGAAAAATGATCAATATTACAATTTTTCACATTTCACATTTTTCAAAGGGTTTTCATCATCATTTTTCTCAAAAATTTTACAAAAAAAGTTGTGAACGCCATTCGATTGGAAATTTAGCTACGAGTTCAACAAGGTATGCCATTCCATTATCGGACAATAAATAGCATTGCTGTCGTAAAAATACTAATATTTTTTAGCAAAAAATGATCAATATTCCAATTTTTCACATTTCATAATTTTCAAAGGGTTTTCAACATCATTTTTCTCAAAAATTTTACAAAAAAAGTTGTGAATGCCACTCGATTGGAAATTTTGTTACGAGTTTAAGAAGGTATGCCATTCCATTATCGGACAATTATTGGCATTGCTATCGTAAAAATAGTGGTATTTTTTGAGCAAAAAATTCCAATTTCTAAAAAATGCCAATTTTTTACATTTTCTTTTAAAAAAAAGTCAAATTTTTTACATTGCACATTTGGGGGGGTTTGGCTAATTTATATCTGACTAAAATTATAGCCGGATATAGAAATACTTTTTCTTGAGTGGCGAACTGCTTGCGATTGGCACTGCTTTCATTGACTGCTTCCGCTTCCGCCGCCCAGAAGTGGGCTACGGAATTTTGACTTAGAGTGGCGGCAGGACGACTTCGGGAATGATTCTGGCCATTTATTATCAATTTCACTCTCGCATGCCATTATTTAGGGGCTTTCGCCGGTCGCATTTGCTGCGCTCAATTTATTCCGAATGCCAACGACCGCTAATGACAACGCGTGACTGGCAAGCCAAACAGGACGATGTCCTGCGGATGGAGGACTCTCTTCCCGTTCGGCGCATTGCCAGCCTGCTGGCCGGACAAATTGAAATGGACAATTGGCATTTGCATAATGCAAAGTAAATAAGTTTCATGTTCGCGAGTCAAATTCAAATTGTACTCGCTTAATTAGCATAAATAATGGGCGCGAATCGGCCGGGATTTCAAAATTGGGATTTCTTATTTCGGGTGTCGGATGTAGTTCTTACCTGGAAGATCTGCTCCACCTTGCCCTTGATCTTCTCCTCCTCGGGACACTCGTCGGGCAGTCGGCCCATCAGCTCGTATATGGCAGTTACGATGTCAGTCATTTCCTCCCTCGTGATGAAGCCGTCGCCGTTGATGTCGTACAGCGAGAAGGTCCAGCGCAGCTTCTCCTCCACGGAGCCGCGCGACAGTATCGAAAGTCCTTGAACAAAGTCCTGTGACAGGAAGAGAAATAAGTTGGCATGAATGCGGGTGCGGGTATTGTGGGGCGGCAGAGGCAGACAACCGGAATTACAGGTATAAAAGAAATTGAAAATATGTTTTAAGAAATTGCTCGTAAACCGCAGCGGCTAGGAGCAAGTACACCTGCGTTCAGCATAATAGTTATGCGCTCAGGGAATATTCAACGAACTTAAGAAAAAAATATTGCTTTTTCTCAAACCCTTATATTTGTAAGGGTATTTTTTGGGGCTTGTTGCTATTTTAATTACTAGCTTATAAATAAATTGGTGGAGAATTTAGCTGACAATTTGCCATTAATATATTATCTTTTGTCTATTATCTCTACACAGTTCATTAAAAAAGAAGTTAGTTTATTTCTTTTTAAAAATCAAGATTGAAACATTTAACCAAGAATTCTATAATTGAAAAGTACTATTACTTATTTTATTGCGGACTAAGATTGTAATGGGTTAATATAAATAAGATGTTTCGTTCTACTTTACATAGAGGCAAATAATCTGTGTAATCTTTGTGGAAAGTATTATTACTTTAGCCGCAGCTGTGCCCCCCCTCCATCGCCCCTCGAAAGCCCACAGTCCTCACTTCCGGCTGCTGTTCCTGCCGCCGCTGAAGTGGACATTTATTTCTATGCTCTGTATGACAAATGTACCTAGATAAGAACTTGCAAGGAGAATGGGGAAAAGTTTTTACGACCCCCGGGCCCCGTTTTCTTGGGTCCGGGAGGTGTTGAGGCATTTCGGGAAGGCCGCAGCTGACGGAGGACTGAGTCTTGCTTTTGCATACCGAATGGGAGAAGAACAAAAAATCAGTAAAGTAAAAAAGCATAGGACGTGGCAGTAATGTAGAGGCGACGGCAGGAGGAATTGGAATAGGAATAGAAACTGAGGCATCATTTGTGTCTTGTTCTCTGGCCATTTGGGCAATTGCAGCGTCCGACTAATTTATCAAACCGAAAAAGAAAACCGAAAAAAAATGTACAAAATTTGAACGAAAAACGAAGCAAGAAACTTTTACGATTCGACGTGGACAAATTGCAGAGCGGCAAGCTGGCAAAACATGCTGGAAATTGAAAATTCGCAGTGAAGTTTGCACTCTGGCCGAGTGATTAAGCGGATCTATGAAAGTTTTTGCCTGCTGACCAGTGCTTTGCACTGCTTGATGGCAGTGGATTAGATGCCAAGGAGACAAACGAGGGATTCTGGGCTGCTCTTAGTTATGCCCCTGGCACAATACAATTTTCCGACTGATTTCGGCTCAAGTTGATGGGCACAGAAGGCTGCGAAATAATCTTTCGATTCATGGTGGATTTTTGGAAAAGAAAGTGGTATATAAACCCGAATTCTCTTTCTATTTGCACAAATCTAGTTAATCACTCAAGAAGTCAAGATACTTTGTATTGAACTTTGGAAAATGTTTAAAAACGACATGTTTATTACAAGGAAAGAAATTCAGGAGAGTTTCAAGAGTATGTTTAATACATTTCATAAACCTCAATTAAGGAAATTCTACTATTAATAATATTTCGAAGACCATAACACTGAACAATTAACTTATTCTTCAAAGTTTTAGTTTGAACTTCCACTCTTCTCTATTACAAATGGTAATATTTAATATAATATTAGGCTTTAATTATTTATTGGCCTGAATTTGTTTGATAAGAAATACAGGTTGATAGGTTTTTTTTATTTAAATACCTTGTGGGAATTGAACTGCTTGGCTAGAATATAAAAATGAAGAGCTGCTACAAGTTTATAGTATTGTTTTTCAGGGTTTGTTTAAGTGACCAAAACAAACTGCTTGCTCGTAGCACTCAAGTGTCATGTTAACCTGCTTGCCTCACTTCACTGCTTGCCAAGGGCGTCCTTTTCCAATCCTTTCTCCGCAGTTGCCATGGAGTCCTGCTGGATTCTCCTTGCTCCTGTTACTGCCACTGCCCCTCTCCCCCCTCCAATATGTTTTTATATTTATTTCCATCCCCCCTCCCCCTCCCACGACCACCGGCACTCGATTGCTTTTATCTCGCACACTTGAGCAATTTATCTTTTCTGCCAGCGTAAACAGGTCACACACTCTTTGCCATTTTGCCATTTTACCCCTGGCATATTGGCCATGCCCACAATTTCAATATGGCCCTGACAGGATTGTGTTACCCTGTTTTCACTTCGCCGTTCCACTCCTGTTGGCAGTTTAATAAACGCGACTGTCATGCAAATCGCGCATAAAACACCTAGCAACAATATGTGGAACTTAATTGAAAAGCGGAAGTCTACTTAGTCAGACCGTCACACACAAAACTAGGGAATTACAGCTGGGGTGTTAAAGTGCGGGAGGGGGGATGGTATGGAAGTGGGGGCATCATGGGTTAAGGGCGCTTCTTTGTACATGCTTTATATCGAGTACGTGCCTCGTAGTCATTACAATTTTGAGGTCATTATTCAACAACGAAAATGGCGAGCAGGCAAAAAGGCAAGAGCTCGCAAAGATAAGCTGTCGGGGGAAAAGCCTGGGGAAAAGCGGGGGGAAAGGCCAGGAAAAGCGGAAGGGAGGAAAGGCGGAAAAGCGGAAATGCGGAGCCCTCAGAGATGGACGGCTGACGTGATTGCGATTATTCCTTGCCAGACACTCGTGGATGCAACGCTGACTGGCCTGCAATATTGATTTGCAAATTGCACTTCACTGTTCATAAATGAGAATGAAGGCTGGCAAATTATCCAATGAAATATTTATATATCAACTTACAAGGCCCTAAGCTTTTCAGCTTGCACCACGTAATTGCTTCATTAAATCATTAAATATTCCCTTTTTTTCGTAGGAAAGTCAAGAAATTATAAACTGTTAACAGAATATTAATAATTTGTTTCCCAATAAATAAAGCTTGATTAAGAAAAGTAATACGATTTATGTAAATACAAAGTGCTCATATGAATTTAAAGATACAACATTTATTTTAATCTTGTAAAAATAAATAACATACCAATTATATTTAAATATTATACTCTTTCAGTAATATTTCATTTATATTAAACTCTTAGAATTTCATTGCTTTCGTACATTTTATAAGCTAAGATACTTATGTTTGCAATAATGGTTTATAAATAAAATTCTTCTTGTTTTAATTCCTTAAAATTAAGAATGTAGAGTTTTAGATAAGGGTTTGTAAGTGTTAAAACACAAAGAATAGATTATATTCGAAATACTTTTAAGTGGGAATAAAATTAGGATTCAATTTGTCTGAGTTGAGGAAAAATTTCAGCCTTTTATCCGTGTCACGCTCTCCGCACTTTCCCGATTTCCCTTTTTCCCAGGACTGTCCCATTGTTTGACTTGGGTTTTGCGTTTCTGTTTAGCTGCCATCCCCGGTATTTCTTTTCCTGCACTTCTGACTGTGTGTCTTGGGCTCGCCTACACTCATTTTTCCCTTGTTTTTCCTTGTTCTGCCCCTGCCCCGACTTTCTCCGACTTTCTCCGACTTTCCCCGCATTTCTCCGCCCTTCTCCACCCTTCTCCGCTTTTCTCTGCCCCTCGCCATGCCCACAAAGTCACAGTGGCTGACAAAGTTGGCGTTAAAATCGCCATAATTCATCGTTTCAATGGCATTGTGTGTGCTTCCTGCCCCCCGAACCCCCCAGAACCCCCCCAGAACCCCCCGCACCCCTTGCTCCTCTGATCCTCTGACAACCGGAAGTGGAGTTCATGCTCGGACATTGCAGGGGCAGTCGCAAGTCAGTGGGTAAACTGCAACAAAAAATTACTCGCCATTTGCATGCACCACAGGCGGTGGCCCTCCTCGATCCGCTGAAATTTATTCGGCTTTCTTATTTTCTTATTTCCTTCATTTCTTTTTTTTGGTTTCTGCCAGCTTTTGTTTTGCATTCCGCTGGCTGCAATAGAAACGTTGACAATGACAGGCGACAGCGACGCGAATGCGCTGCAAACTATAGATTTCCCCCTGGCCGCCAGCATTTTATTTCAATTTCGAGACATTTCACTTTGATTTCTGTATTTCGAGCATTATTTTTCGGTTTCCTTGCCGTTTTTCCCCGCGGCAAACAGAAGCGAATGCAAAAGGAAATGCTGTGAGTGTGCAGCGATTGCTATTTCGACTGTTTTCCATTTTTGTGACCACATCTAATTGAAGTTTTCCCCGCTTTTGCGCAAAATGGTTTTATCATAATTCCCAACGTATGCTAATATCACAGAAAATTAAGTCACTTTACGGTGCTTTGCTTTTTAACTCGATTGCTTTTTAAATGGCTGTTTAATGCTCTCATTGAAAACTACATAAGATAAGGCTGAAATTTAATGGCATACTTGGACTTATAAATTAAAGTGTGGTATATAAATTGGTTTAATTTCTTAAAACACAGTAAATCAATAAAGAAAATATTACAATTCATAGCAAATGTAAATAGAAGTCGCCATTTTAAACTAAATTATGATTCTATTTAGCAAATCATTAAACTCTGTTTGTCAACTGATTATAATCTTTGAGCATATGTACATTTTGGCATCTGTGTGTAAATCATTTGCATTTGGGTATGCTGAAAAAAAGTAAGTGAGTAGGAAACCATCTGTGAAACTTTATCAAACTTTTGGCATTCCTAGAATACAACCCTTTTGTGGGGAAAACTCCGCTTTTTCACACACATTTGGGCCCACTTCAATGGGCGAACATAATTCGGGACCCGAAACTTTAATGTCCTTTAAATTGAGGAGTTGGGGATTATAATGCGGGGCGTCTGGCGTCTGAGTGTGTACTTTGCGCAATACAACTTTTGTGCTGCGCCAGTTAATAGAGCGCTGAAACGTCTATCTGGCGATACTCTTTGTTCTCGCTTCCCCGATTTCCCCCAATTTCCCCGGCCACTGCCACTAATAAACCGTAACTAAAGGCGCTTACCAGGCCGAGAAGAAGTACTTGCCCCATGGACCATGCACCATGGACCTGTGCACCCCCACTTTTCTCGTTGTTGTTATTATTGACTTCTTTGGGGGCCTTTTGCAGCGTCATTTGGCGCCATCCCTCCGTTTGAGCCCCTCTTTACCGCCCCCCTTCACCACCCCTCTGAGCCAAATCAGCTTCATTTAGAAACTCACGATGCCACACAACTTTTGCCCCTAAGCTGCACTGAGAAAAACCAAAGATGTGTTCAATATTTTCAATGAAATAATACTTCCACATGTTAAATGTGTTGTATTAATATCACTTTAATCCGAATTAAAAAGTAGTTTCATCTAAAAAACATTATTTAAACTATTTATATTCTAATGACGGCATATTTATAATTAAACATAATATCCAAATCCTAATTGATTCAAACGGAATTTTTCTTTATTAATTTAATATAAGTTACTATTTATTATTTAAATTAAATAAATTAAAGAGCTAAAGAATCAAATCTAAATTGTTTTGATAGTTATTTATATTGAAATCGAATTGACTTGAAATGTTTGAATAAATTAATCAATTTAAAGGTTGTGTAATTATATTTGTTATGAACACTTTTGTGTTTTCTTTCGCTGTGCCCCAACCTCAAACCAAAGCAAAGCGAACTTAACTCAACTCGACTCGCCTGTCAGCCATATTTTATACTTAAAATGTCTAAAGTAATTTCATTGTACTTAAGTCTGTCGGGCCTGCTCCCCCTCCACTCCCTCCCCCCCTGCCTGCTTCCACCACACACCCCCATCCCCATTGGTGACCTCAACAATTTCTCTTTGCGCCGCATCATCGTACGGACATTAAGAGGCGTACCGAGTAAATTAAATTGAATTGCCGAGCCAGTGTGTCCGTGTACTCGAGTCCTACGCATTTCCCTGGCCATTCAATTGGCAAGATTAATTATCGATAACGATAGGCAGCGATTCAATCACAACTACGGCCACACTCCCCTCAATTATGTAGTTGGCCATAAATTTGCCCAGCTCTTAACGCCCTTGAACGCATGTTATATTATCTGACGGAAAGGGGTACACTTACAAAAAATACATTGCACTTGACATAAATTTAACATGTTTGCTTTATATCTAGTCTTTAAAGAACTCATTTACTCATATGATTGTCACCTTTAATAGGCTTAATAATATCTAGTAACCTTTTTTATTCAAAACCACTGTCTTCTGACCTCCATTAAATTTATTTCTCAGTGTAAGCACCCACAAATGACTGGCCATTAGGTTGTATGTATGATTGCCTTCAGTATGGCTGCGTTGTGCTGTGTTCGCTTTAATTGCAAATGGCACCGACAGACAGCAGTAAGTGCCACAAATTGTTGTACGAAAGTTGATTTCTAAGACAATTTCTCGATTTCCTCCCAGTTCTCGGTGGTCCAATCTAAATCGCAATTTCGCCTCAGGACCCACACACGGCCGAACTCCATTAGTTGGTCGTCATCGGAATTTTGATTGAGATGAAGAGACCTGGCCAAAACCCAAAACCCAAGACCCAAAACACACATCGCACATCGCACACGGAAATGAGCTGCTCAAATGCTTCCCATTGCATTTCTCGTGCTCGTCTTTGCCCGCAGGCCATACTTTGATGTCGCACACTGTCACGAGAGGGGAAGGGGGATGAGGGGCAGAAGGACTTCCACAGAAATGAAAAGCAGTGCTGGCGACACAGCACTCTTCACATAGAATCTGTGGATATCATTAAGGCCAAGGCTGTGGTTGCGTTAATAAATATTGAAGTTATTGTATAGAATTTAATAGTATGTCAGAAAACATGAGCATATTTTGGCAACAAAAGTGGAGAGACACAATAACTTTAAGAAATAGTAATAAAAATGTGCCTCTTTATTAATATACTTCTTAAAGGTATTTCTTTATGCCCCGAAATTGTTTGAATTAAAATTATAAGTTGTCATCACTGGTAGAAATAAAGATAGTTAATGGAAGAACATTCCCTAATGGATTAGTTTGGCTGCTGGCATTGATATAGGATATTTTTTGGTTGTCGCCTCTGGCACTTAATATTTTCTCATATAGTTTGAAGAAGTTCAGACTTACCTCAAAACTGACAATGCCGCTGTGATCCTGATCCAGTGTATTAAATACATAGTGCGCATATAAGGTTGGATTGGCTGTTTATGTTGGTGGTGGCACATTGTCGACGTTGTTGGTTGAATGGAAACAAGAGAGGAACGGCGTTAAATAAGAACATTTCAACGGGTTAGCGGCAAGATGGCAAAAGTCGACCAATTAGGTCTCAACTGAAGCGGTTAAACTTTTGGTAACATTTTCAAATCAACGCTAGATATACAAATGCACATACACACATTCAAATAAACATATTTAATAGCACTCAAACAGTGAAAAAAGAGAATGAGTAACTTAGATGAAATGTTTTCTTTTAAAAATAACTTGTATTATGTGGTTTTGACTTTTAAACAAGTTTTATAATAAAAAGGTCTTAACAAAGAATGAAAGAAACAAAGTTTTCAAATAAAAAGTACCTTTACTTAATTAATTATATTGCCATATCTAATTAATATTATTTTGTTTGGACCTTAGTTATTTTTCAATAATAATGACCATTTATATTAAAATATTTTGTTTGTGTATGAAAACGATAATGGTTCGATAGTTGGCCGGCATAAAGATATGAGTTTGGGAACGACGGTCTTGGTTGGCAACTTTTATGTGGGTCGTCTTCGTCTTGGTTGCAAAAAGTTTCGCTTTTCCTTTCAGTTTTGTCAACCGCAAAAGTTTTTCCATGTTTTCGTTCGGGTTGCAGCTATTCTTTTTGTGTGTGTTTCCTTTTTGTCTTTGCTGTTTATCAGTGGAAAAGTCAACATTTTTTGGGACTCGGGGTTTTTGCCGAAAGTTTCCACCCGGTGAGGGAGGGAGGGGTAGAGGGGTGGCGGGGGCCAAAGGGGAAGGGGGAAACAGTTTGCAGCTAATTATGCGAGTGTCTCCTGTGACTGCTGATAAGCACTGCTTGCGCACACTGCTTGTGACTAATTTTAAAAGAGTGTTGCCTACTTATGAGGGCGCTGTGAGTTGAGGGAGTTTTTCCTTTCGAAAAGATTTCCCAGCCTTGTTATCGCACTCTGTGACTTTCGCAAAGAGCACTTAACGCACTTAGTGTCCCCGCCACCATTTTGCGCTGTCAGAAAAATTTCTTTATCTGGCCATCACATAACATTTTGATTATTGCACTCGCTTTCCCACTCCCTCGGCTACTTTTTTTACGATTCGCGTTTATGTTTATGGCTTGATGCCAAAGGTTTTTTTGGGTTTATGCGCTCACAGCGTTTACACCTCTTTGGCAGGCAAGACGTCGCTTCATAAAGCCGCATCAAATGCCATTCGGTGCGCGCCCTGATGCCCCGAAAAGTCTTTTCAAAGCGCGCGGTCGTAAAGCTAAAGTTCAGGCTATTGACGAATTTTGTTGCATTTACTGTTTGCAGTCGATAACTTAATTTGGAAGCAATTTAACTAACTTGTACTATTACTTTATATTACAGTTAACTGAGTTTCATGCATATTATTGAATTGAATGGGTCTTTATTTAGATTAATATTGGTAAGGAGGGAAAATGATTTCTGGTCTCTTTTGTTTTAATAAAACTTAAAAATGTTAGAATACAATTATAATAATGTTTTTTTCAGCATCGTATGTATGTTTAATATACGGTTTGCTCAGTGTAAATAAAATTAGCTGTTCGTTCAAATTTCAAAACAGTTTAATTTTTTGTTTTAAATAAATACAGAATATATAGAATTTCTTTATTATATTCACTTTAAGCTAATTGGGGAAGTATTAAACTGTATAAATCTTTATATTTTGCAAATGCAATTATCTTTTAAAAGTAATTCCCTTTCAACTAAGGTTGAACTTTAAACTTAACAGCGCCTTAAAGCCTCGAATCGCACTGTACCCACGTACGGCGCAAGTGTATACATTTATTTGTCCAAATTTATTGTCGCTGTTTGATGCTTAATGTGTTTTTATGACGCATGACGCAGAGTGCCACGCCCACAAGGTCAAAGCTCAATGGCAAGGATGGCATCTGCTCCTCCTGTTTTTTTTTTTGGCTGTGCCAAATCAAAAATGACTGCAAATGTGCCATGTAAAAATTGTTATAAAATTTGCGCAGAAATTTGCCAAAAGCAAGCGGCGCGAAAAACAAAAAAAATAAACGAGGGGTACGACCAAAGTGATAAATCACCAACTTTGATGGTGTTTTTTTCCCTCTGCCGCGTGAGTGTGTGTGTGTGTGTGTGTGTGGCAAAGCAGCTTATCAAAATAAAAAATGATTTCATTATTTATTTTTCATCAGATAACGGCAGACATGATGAAGAATAAGAGGCGTCCTCGGGAGTCGAAGGAAATAAGCCCGATGTTTACTGGGAATTTCTTGTTTCCGTTTCCGCCTGTCGATGGGCAAATGCTGGCCACCATTGTCGCTAGTCAAAATAAGTTTATTATAATAATTCAGTGTCCCAACATGTGTAGCAATAACTTTCCCGCCGGGGCTGGATTTAGGCGGCAGTACAAATGTGGCCTAAACACAATTTATGGCCCATGTCTTGGCTGGCTTCTGAGGTGCGAATGAATTTGCCCAGCGATTTGTGGCAGTCACAGGGAATTATTGGGAATTATTACCCCACGAAAAGTGATAACATGAAGATGTGGAGCGACTTAAGCCAGTTTGGCAAGCTATTTTGCTAAAAAGGCCTCTGCAATTTGTTAAATCTGAAGAGTTTTCTTAGGGGAAGATAATAATTATATTAATTAAACAAAATAGTACCTATTCTTTTTATTTCGATAAATTTATAGAGATCTTAGTGTATTTTTTTTAAATAAATGCCTTAAAAATCATGTTCTAATTTAATGCCCCTAATCAGTCACAACCTATGATTTAAATTGGTTTACTTTAAATGGCTTGAAATAAATCCAAATTCTAATGCCAACGATTTGTCACATTTAATCTAATAGAAAGAAGCCGAAAGAGTCTGATTTTGCTTTTAACAAAATTAGCTACAAAATGGACATAATATTTTCGGTGAGTAATCAACCCTTTCCCCCAGTTTTCCTTACATTTTTCTTTGACATTTTTGTTTGGCGAGCGAACCCTTATCCCGAATTCCCAGCCCGCAGCAGACCCTTGCCCGCAGTAATCTATCAGGAATTCAGTTGGCTACCGGCCACTGAATGAATCCATCCCCTTTTATCCTCGGCCTCATCTTCAGTTTCAGTTTCAGTTTTCAGCTTTTGCAGATGTAAATGTGAATTGTGCACAAGCAAAAAAAGCTGGGCAAAAAAAACGAAAATATAAAAAAAAGGAATACAAAAAATGAAGAAGAAAAAAATGTAACTTGTTGTTCAAACGAGGTCAAGTGGGTGGCTTGGCTGCCACGCCCCCTCCGCGACCGCGACTTGTGAAACATGATTTTGCTTTTTATGCTTTTTTGCTAATTTGCTTTCTGCATTTCATATTTTCACAAGCCAAGGGCCGGCCAAACAAAGAGTCGCCGTTTGGCCATTCTGAATATAGCCCGGCATCGTCATTAGCATCATCCTCGCTCCTAGTTCACCACCATTCCCAATCCCAATCCCTGTCCCAATCGCAACCCACATTCCGGCCATCCCCAATGATCTTCCCCAACTCTTTGGGTCATACAGTTTTATCAATGGCTTTTGTCTCGAGTTGACTTTTGTTTGGGTCGGTGGGAAGTCTCCAGTCAATTGCCATTTGTTTTGCGGCCCTTTGCTAATCGCAACTCTCGTTCTCATTTTCATTTCCATTTCCATTCGAATTTCGCTTTTCCGTTTCCGCTTTCGACCCACATCGATTGGTGCTAAGTGAAAGATACGATATGTAGTGCTTAAATCTAATGGAACTAGCTTTTGGTCTTGGGAAATATTTAGCTTTAATTGGGACAAGTAAAAAGGTTTTCAATCTTTTTTTTGATCAAAAATAACGCGATATGAAAAATGTGTAAATGTGTGTTTATTAATATTCAACTAAAGAATAAAATCCAATAATGAAAACTCACACACACAACATACATTTATGCAAACAACAAAGCAACACCAACACAAACACAGCAAAATACTAATTACTAAGTTAAGTCAACATCAATATGCTAGATTAGTTAGACACAAAACTGGAACGCAGAACACACATCTAGATCGATATGCATGTGTGTGTGGATCGAGATCGGGGGGTTGCAACTCGAACTACACGATGTTTTGTTTTTTGGTGGTGACTGTACTGTTTTGGCTAGCAATTAAAATGGCGCTAATGCAAATAAGAGCAACAATACAGTGAGGCAGGCGTTAGTAATCACTAGTCAAGTCAGAAGGGTTAACGAAACAAAGTATACTGTACCGCACGAACCTCCCTGTGGAAAGAACTGCGAGTAGATCACTTTGAAGGTGTCCTCCTTGACGACGCCCGTCGGGCACTCAGCCTTAAATCCCCGGTAAATTCGTTTGATCTCGTCCTCCGTGAAGCGGGTGGCGCGGCTCAGCGCACTTAGCGAGTCGGGCCTGTACCGTGCCGGCGTCTCGAACTCCTCCAGTTCCGAATCTGCAATTTTAAACGAGCGTTTTCATTTACTAAACAGTTTGTAATGATTACATTGATTAGGGGAAATTAGTTTTGGATTGCTGTAATTTAAATATATTTTAAATTCTCAAAGGATATATTTGTGAATATATTAATAATATTTATAAAAGTTATTAGGCCCCAAAATATTTTATGTTCTATTTATGTTTTGGAATAAGAAAATATAAGAATGTCTATTCAATTCATTGTAGATGAATATAACTTATATAAAGTTTCCTATTTGTAATCAGTTCCGAAAGTCATAGTCTTTTAGCTTTGGTGTGGCATCTTATTTTAAACATTAGATATATTTTCAAAGAACCTTCAGTTTAAAATACATTCTTTGGGTGGTTTGCCCAAGTTCTGTTTTAAACCAGAACTCAGGGAATATTAAGTCTTTTAAATTTGCCGAAGCAGCTGCCTGATGTACGACAAATCCACAAGCTCCGCAGCATGAATATGTTCGTAGCCTTTGGGGCATGTCCTAGTCAGACTTGCTGTTGCCGCATCCCCCTCCCCCTAGAAAACCCCATGAAAGTCCTTCCCAAAACCCCCCTTTTATCCTCTTCCCCGAAAAAGCGACACACGCGATTTTGATCTGTTGAGTCGCTCGAAGTGTTTGAATTGACTTGCCAGTTGCCTCAAGTATCTTGTACTTTGCCTGTCGAAAGTTTTCGCTTCTTTTTCGAGTCACCTTCATGGGCGGCGTGGTTGGGAGGTGTCAAAGGGGGTCTTCTCAAAAAGGTAAAAAGCGCTTCACTTTTTTTTTTACCTCGGTCTGACTTTGACTTCGTCGTCGGCGTGGTTTCCCTTTCAATGCTGAGTGGCAACAAAAAAATGTTCTTTGTGGCGGAGGCGCCTCAATTTTAGTTAATTAAAAGTTTTAACCTCACACACGCACTCGTCAACTACTTTTTCGTGCACTTTAAATGTTTTGTGGCTTACTTCTTGAAGAGCTCTTAACTTAAAAATGGGACAAGTGCAGAATGATACAGACTTCTTAGATATTCAACAAAGAAATATTAAGAAACTTTTAATAGTCTAGCCAAAGAGAATTATTTAAAGAAATACTTACAAGTTACTGTTTTTCTAATTAAATATTCTTGTAAAATATGTGTTAGCCAGTATTCTAAAAACCGAAACAAAAATCGTTACATTATTCTTGCTATTTTGAAATGTCTGTAATTTATGGCACCTTCTTAACTGGGAAAATTCCTCTAAGTGTATATGCAGTGGACTGCACACACAGAGAAATTTCGGTGAGTTGAGCTCACGCGCTTGACAAATGGCTGCTTAAAAATGCATGAAAGGAGGCAGCGGAAAACGGGAGGAAAGTGAAGTGAGAGGAAAATTCAGCGGGAAAAGGGTTTGGGGAATTTTCACTAGGCAAGGGCGTTGAATTGTTGGCCATGCTAAGCGTCCAAAAAGCAGGTTTCCACCTAGGAACAAAAAGGGAAATGGGTTGCAAAGGGAAAGTAAAGTGTGGAAAAGGGCAGGGAAAAGTGGAAAACTGGGAAATGGGTGGCAGATGGTCGCTACGCTTTAGTTTGCAGACGATGGCCTGCAGTTGTCGCTGCCTTTGGCGTTAGTTTTTAATTTGCTCGCTGGCTTATGCCACACACACGTGTGCAAATGCATTTTCATTTTAGCCAAAATTGGGGAGCCAAAGCGAGTCGAGTCGAGCGTTTATATTTTGTTTCTATTTCGAACACCCACCAACCCTCGGGCAGAAATTTAATCAAAAACGAAAAATCTGAAGGCAAACAAAGTAGCTTATGACAAATTAAAAAAATATTATTCAAATATATATATATATGCATAGGGTTTCAGTAAAGCCAAAGGCATCAAATTCCTCTTAATTTAACTAATTTACTTCAATCTGAATGCATTTGGGTTTTCTTTGCGTTTTTCCTTCGTCCTTTGCCGACACTCACTTTGTCTGTTTATGGCTTCCTTTTTATTTCATGTTCATGTTCCCATTCCCATTTCCATTTCCATCTTTTCTCTCGTTACACCCGAGTGGATTTGCATGCGCATTCTTTTGGGGTCTGCGTTTTATGTCTCTGGCATCGTTTGCATCTTCCTCACATTGTGAGCAAAATGTTGACGAAATGCATTAAGTCTAATATATATTCATGTGCAGCTGGCATCTGACGTTTTGTTTGGCTTTAATTTACCAAAAGTTTTCCCTCAATTTTTCTCGCTTTCCCCCAGCCTCCCCCCTTGGCCTCATTTTTTATTCCTGCTCTTCGTTTTTTTATTTGTGACTCTTTATTATCAGCTGCTGGCGCTGAATTTTCACGTAAATGTCTAAATTATTTGTGCGACAAACAAAACGGTTTGTGTTGATGATGCGACAGCTGTTGGGCGAAAAACAAACGGAATTCTAACGAAATATATCCCAAACTGCGCCCGAATGCAGGCAACACTTTTTTTTCGGCACACTGCTTGCTAAACAGGGTGAGCGGACGTGAAAGCAGTGCATGCCAGACCGACTGGAATGGTGCATTTATCAGATAACAACGATTTATTTAACTGCTGATTAGCTAGCAAACATATATTCGCTGGAATGGCAATTTATTCGTTTTCATTTTTATGTGTTCAAAATAGTGATTTATTTGGCTTTTTTATATGAAAATTATCTATTAATGTCTTTCTAAATTATAGCATTTTGAGTTCCTGTCAACACAAAATTTAATTTGATTTAAGTATACTTATGTTTAACATATGATCAACTATCTAATAAAATATGCATATATCATATATGTTTAATTTAATTTAATATATAAAAATGTAATATATGAAAAATATCAAGATCATTCAAAACTTTATATTTCTAAGATAAATGTTTAATATTAAATGTTTAATATTAAATGTTTAATATTATACTAACTATTTATCTTCCCTTACCTTTTAATGTTTTTTGAAAGCTAATATTTCTATAATGATAAAATACACCTACACATAATTTGAGCTCCATTTTTGCATTAAAACGTCTTATTTTTCCGTACTAAGTACTCCCTCTTCGAGTTTTGCCACTAATCGCTTTTTGTGGTTTTGTTTTGGTTTTTATTTCGATGCCACCTGCTAGGGTCAAGGTGTGAAAACACATGCCTCATTTAGTGTGGGTGGCGGATGCTGGGGCGTGGCGCCGGAGGGCTGAGGGCGGTAGGCGTGGCAGCTGTGGTCTGGCAATTGGCAAACATAACAATAAACAAAAGGATGACAGTGGCAGGGCATTTGCGGGCAGTGTGGGCCTGGATTGCCATTGTTGTCCGTGTAATTTCAGATAGGGCACAAAACAACCGAACTCAGTTGCAATTGCAGTGCCATTCTGCAGTGCCCCGCCCACTTATTTGCCGCCCACCGCCCACTCACCTCATCTTGCATGAGTTCGCATAATAAGTTCCTGTTTATCTCGACTCGGTTTGCGTTTGTTTGCCCAACGCTGACTGCATTCCCTTCTCTTATCCTTTTCCCCCTCTGCCCTCTCCTTCTCCACCCTCCTGCCTGTGTGTGTGTGTGTGTGGCTGCGCAGGTGTCATGTTTCCGTTTCCGCTGCAGCAACAGCAGCAGCAGCAGCCGCCAGTCAAGTGCAAATATTTTTGCATGCTGCACCCCACACACTAACAAACAGCTATGTTCAACAAAATAGTTGTAAGTATATAATAAAAATAAAAATATATAAATCTAAAAGAAGTTTCTGTAAAGTATTTATATTAAATATTTAAATATTTAACTTAAAAGCTAGAAACACAAGCTTAGCTAAATATAAAAATATTTTAAAAGAATAATACAAACAAATTGTTTAAAATATACATTTTATCTACCACATTTATTCAATTTTCCAACTAGCTAATAACTATAAGTCAATTGATAAGTCAATACCATATTATCAAACTTAAGTAATTGGGCATTTAATAACATATTCCTTATCTCTTGTTTTTTTTTGTGCTCCCCAAATAAATATTTTTCAGCTAAACATTTTCTTGAGATATTTCTGGCATTTTTATTTCATTTGTTTTTAATGGTGATGTTAAGACAATAACAATTAAGTAAACTATTACTTCCAATTTATATAGCACTCTGTCAATAAATGTAGTTTGTAATCACTATTTAAAACTTCTGACCACGTGTAAATTAATCAAGAGAAAGAACTCCTACTGTTTCGAGTGCAATTGTAAATGCGGAAAGTGAAAACCACAGCCACTACCGCCCCCTTTAGGGGGTGTGGCATCGGTTTTTATTAGGTATGCGCTGCAGTTGTTGTTCCTGTTCTGTTGTGCAGTAAAAATATTTGCTTTCGTTCAATTTCAAGTGTGCGCCATGTCGATAAGTGCCAGCGACTGCAGTTTTTCCAAATGTTTACCTCGCCAACAGCCAACAGCCACGCCCCCTTTGTCAACTACTATAAAAGTGCAAATTAATAAAAAAATATATATAATGTTTAAGGTTGTGGGGATGGGCTGTTTTCTGGGCGGTATGCCTTTGAAGATGCGCACTCAATCGAAGCGTTCACAGATACTCACACACACACATACACACACACACATGCACACGGAGAAAGCGAAGCATCTCCAAATGCCTTTGGCTGCTTTTACTGCCCTTCTTTTTATCTCCGGTTTTTCCGCTTTCTTTCTGCTTTTTTGATCGACAAACCGAACAAATAAAAGAATCGTTTGAATATACACGGTATCCGCATGCTGAAGAGAACTCAATTTTATGCTGGCCATTGAAGATTTATTGGGTTTCCCCAAGCAAAAGCTTTCTTTGTTATGTCCCTTAAAATGGAAATTAATTGGTGAGTTATGAAAATCCTTGAATTTGTCAAATGCAGTAAGTGCAAAGCATTTGAAATCAGAGTCTAGTATGTAAATGTATGTGTTTAAAAGCCAGTATGCTTAAATGTGTATGCTTAAGTCTAGCAATGTCCTGAGTTTCAAAGAATTTATAAGATCAAATCCTTTTTTTGTTTGCTTAAA